TTTTTTTTTTTTTTTTTTTTTTTTATTTATACAAATTTTTTTTTAAAAATAATCAAAATTTTATCAGCTTTCCCAGATTATAATGATTTAGGGCCAATGATTTCACATTCTTTGGCAGATTGCTTTACAATGCCTGGTGCAGAAGCTTCTTTTGTAGGTGTTATGCCACCATCTCCAATAGTACAAGGAAAGCTTCCGAATCCAACAGATCAATTATTTGATATGGATACCAAATCTTTTTTTCCACGTGAACTTGCTACCTTAGATGCTCGGGATTATTTTAATACGACAACCGCTGATAGTTTGGCATCTGATGCCGCACGTCGTAAATCACTTGATGATGCAATCTTTCTACGAAAAATTGCTTCAACACCAGTGAAATCTGAAGTAGCATTTCAACAGCACAATCGCCGCAAGTCTCTGCCTGGTGATCTGACGCAACGTCTTCATATTGAAACTTTGTCTCCGACCAAGCAGCCACGAAAATCTTCAAAATCTTTAGCTCCTTTTGCCTGTCCTCATGAACATTGTCCAAAAACTTTTACGCGACAATACAATTTAAAATCTCATCTTCGTACTCATACTGATGAAAGACCTTTTGTATGTAATTATCCTGGTTGTCCAAGAGCATTTGCTAGACAACATGATCTTAAACGTCATCAAAAATTACATCTGGGATTAAAACCTCATGTATGTCAAAATTGTGGTCGCGCTTTTGCAAGATTAGATGCTTTAAATCGTCATTTAAGAAGTGATAACGCAGCTCAATGCGCTCAAGCTACATTGGCAAATAATGCAGCAGGCAAATTATTTAAATCCGCAAATTTATAAAGAAATAATTTACATCGCACATAAATTATTTTCTTTTTCTTTTTTTATTTTGAAATTTTTTCGTGGAACGGACCAACCTTTTTTTTTTTTAAATAAATTAACGCTTTTCAATTTGTACAATTTATTTTTTTTTATAACATTTTAATTGTATAATGACCTGTGAAAAAATTGTAAGGTGTTATTATGTAATAACAAAAGGAATTTAGCATTTGTCAAAAAATTTTTTGTATATTATTTCCTTTTTTTTTAAAAAAAAATTTTATTTGGAGGTTGTAATGAATGTAAATGTTCTCTTTTTGTACTTCCGGATTCAAATTTTTCCCCTATTTGTTTAGTATTTTTTATGCTCGTCGTTTTTTTCATTTGTTGTGTTTCATTGTTGTTTCATTGTTTCATGTTTTTGTTTCTAAGAAATTGAACTAAAAAATTTTAAATATAGTTCATTTGATATAAAAAAAAAAAAAAGTTAACTCCCAAATTCTTTTTTTGTAAATAGCTTTTTCCCCTCCCCTTTTTTTAAAAAAAAATCAATTTTTAAAATTTTTAAAAAAGACCAAAAAAGTTTTTTTTGGAATCAATAAATAAATAAAAAAATTTTTTTTTATGTTCTTGTAAAAAAAATCGTTTAAATTTCGGAAATAGTACCGTGAAATTTTAAAGTTTTCTTTAATTGTTATTTATTATTGTTTATTGTTATTTTATTTGTTATACCGTTATTAAAAAAGAATTCATTATTTGTTTTTTTATAAATTGATAAAGTTTTTTTTTTTTTTTTTTTTTTAATAACGGGTTTTTTTTTTTTGATTTCTTTTTTAGTAAACGTGATCTAAATTAAGTAACACTATCGAATGTTTATTTTACACGTTTTTTTTTACTTAAAAATGAAAACGTTCCTAAATTCTAAATGTTTCATAAAAAAAAAAAGTAAAATTATTAAACTAAATTAAACTAGTATTTATCAGTTTATTCTAATAACGGTTTATTCAACTTCATCCTAATTTCCAAAATAATAAACATTTGTAAATTTCGGAATTTTTCGTTTCCGTCACACCACTGAATCCAGTTTCTTTCTTTTTTTTAAAAAAATTCATGGGAATATTCAAATATTTTTTTCACGCCCAAAATTATTTATTTTTTTTTTTATATCATTTGAAAATCATTGGACAAATGTTTTTTCATCTGATAATTCTAAAATTGTAAAATAATGCTTAAAGCGATCAATTACTTCCTTTTAAAAAAAAAAATATCGTGAACTTATTATTAATTAATTAATTAATTAATTATCGTCCATTTTTTAATTTTCTTATTGAATGAAAAAAAAAAAAATAATAATAAATAATTTTTTCGAAGTTCATCATTTTTTATTATTATTATTATTATTTACCCTTATATTTAATTATTATCTTCTCATCACTCGAAAATCGAAAAAAAAATGAGATGAAAAAATAATAAAAAATCAAGATATTAGATAATATTGTTAGTGGCTTTCTTTATTGATTGATTTCGGTAAGTATGATAAGTATTTTGATCCAAAATTTGTCGTTACACCTAAATAACACGTGTCAGTCAGTCGTGTTAGATAACTTGTCAATTTAAAATGTCTTTTCATTCGTTGGTGCCAAAATGCCATAAAAGATTTTATGAATAATTCACCAGACCAGATTGTGTGATTCACGATTTCTGTTTCTACCGTTTTTACCGTTTCGCAAACGAGTTAATGATGTGTCGATCATGCTATGAGACATTATTAAGTAGTTACGGATATCGCTTAAAATCTAATCCAACATGAAAACGCAATTAAAATTTGAGTGTCATTTCTGATTAGAATTTTCTGATTGGAATTATCATGATCAGATAGGCAACTTTTCTTTGTTAGTAAGAATCGTACTAACTTTTTATTAAGAAATGATATTTTATGCTTCAGATGGAATTTTTTTTTAGTAAAAAAAAACCCCTTATTACCTAAGTTATTTTGAAAAAGATTTGAAGCAAGTAATAAAAGTCGAAAATCAGCCAATGATGCTAAGATAGTCTGAGTATAGATTTTTTGAGATGGATGATTGGATTTCCCAACTGATTGATTATAAATTTAAACCTGATTTTATAAAAATTTAAATTTAAACCTACTACAATTTATTGTTTACTAAAAATACGACTTGCATTAGTACAAATCAAACCCTAGAAATTTCAACCTACATATCGGTCAGTGCAGGGTATTTCGAGCTTTTGTTTTATTTGGAACAACAGAGCTCTGATTCTCCGTGCTAATATGTAACATCATCTATAATATATTTCTTGAAATTTCCTTCATATACTTTGAATTCGTTTTGTGGGATGTATTAATATTATGACTCGCAATATGGGTGTGCCATTTATTTGGCACATACACGTGACTGCCGAGAACGTGCAGGGAATATATATCTCTACGACTTTTTTCTTATTTGTCACGTCGATGATGAGCGCCCACAAAACGGAGATGTCAGGAAAAAACGGTATTAAACGATTATATAATTCAAGATAATTATGTCGTTTTCATTATTAACATTAATAGCAATTGTATATACCTTCCTTTTTCTTAATATGATGCTATTATTTATAATAACTACAAAATTTTAACCCACTTACTTCCTAGTTCAATATTTATCAAGAGGCATATTCCAAATTCGTGGGTAATGGGTTACAATATTCAAAATTCTTTTTTTATCAGAAAAAAGATATTTATTTTATTTATTTGATATTTCAAGTTAATTCTTCAATACATTATGGGCAAAAAAAAAAAACAATTTTAAATGATTAATTCTTAATTTATCAAACAATTATATCAACCCTTTTAATAAATGATTGTTTAAAAAGAATTTAACCAGGATTTTTCTTGAAGCAGGTATATTCATCAGAATTATTTTAATGAAATAGTTCGAATATAAAAAATGACTAATTTAATAATGTTTAATAAATATATTTAGATCAATTGTATTAATCTTTTATTTAAACTTTTAATCATCTGTTGAACAAATGAAAAATCATTCTGATATTTATAAAGACTGGTTTTTCGCAAATATTACCTACCCGTGATGCTATGAATTCTTTTTATTTTTATTTATATTAATATTATCTTTTTCATTACAAAAAATAAAATGAAAGAATAATATCAACCAGACATTTGGTTTATTGATTTCGGTATTAAAGTACATAGCTAATATTAATCTAATGTTTGATCTAAAATTTGTTGGTACATTACCCCCTTTTTCGTTTTACTAAAAAAAATTCCATATCAGTCGTATCAGGTAACCTTTCAATTTAAAATACTCCTTCATTCGCTGATGCAGAATTTGAAAATCATAAAAGAAATTTCTGAATCCTACATTATGGTCTACAAATTTGCCTTAAAAATTACTTGTTCTGTACACTAGTTCAATTTCATTCTTTAGCCTTAATAAATATATTGAGATTTGGATTGTAAATTGGTAGATAACAGAAATTAACCGAGGAGTTGCCATCATCTCCTGTCTTTGACCTTAGAATTGCCACCGTACATCATCTTTCATGCCAAGTAAAAAGGAGAAAAAAATTAATTTTTTTAGCTATCCAAAATTGATGTGAGAAATCTCATTCATTTCTAGGATGAAATTAAAAGAAACATTTGTGTCTTTAATGAACTATAGTTATGATTCTAGTCATTCTACAATCCACAAATAACTGATATCTTTATATCTTTGTTATCATGCACAATAGTTCTTACATGAAAAAATTAATGTCTACATATTTGCAAAATCATCAATTCAGATAATTGATCTTAATTTTATTATAATAAAGTCTTCAATCTGGAATTTATCGCCTTTTTCTTTTTAGTGTGATCTAGCTAAAATAATAATTAAAAAAAGTGAATTTTAGAAATCTGTGATTACTAAGATTTTATTGTATTTTCAGGTAGAGAGGATGCAAATACAAGCTGAAATGCAATAAAATTTTAGTAATCACAAGTTTTAAAGTAAGTTTACTTATAAGTGACTCCTTAAAAATTTGTGTAATATTTATGCTTTAAAAGTTACTTATAAGTAAACTTATTTTAAAACTTGTGATTACTAAAATTTTATTGCATTTTCAGCTTGTATTTGCATCTTATCTACCTGAAAATACAATAAAATTTTAGTAATCACAGGTTTCTAAAATTCATCTTTTTTTATTATTATTTTAACTAGATTATACTAAAAAGAAAATGGCAATAATATAAGATTTTGATTTTACATTTTAATTACAAAATACGTATGGGTTACGTCAAATCTGGATACCCAACTCAATAATGCGCAAATTGCTTTGGGAATGGGGAATGAAAATTGTAAAGACACTTACTATCAAGAAACATTGAAAGAATAAAATAGGACAAACCTGTAAACTATCATGCTTTTACCCAATGGGAAAAAGATAGAGATAAGCCCAGTATAGGTCCATCAATTTGAGGAAAGATAAGTTAGTTTAGACGAGTTTTATGGATAGCAGATGACTTTTGAAACTGGATTTCGGAAGGTTAGATTCACCCGTTAAGAAACAAGTTGACTAACGAAGTAAAAATAGAAGGAGAATTAAATAGAAGGATATTTACACATTAACGAGCAGTATAATGAAAATTACGTGCAGTATTTAATAATAGAGTAAAGTCCAAGAAGAGGATATAAATAAAAACATTGAAGAAACATTTTATGTATTTGAAAAGAAGAACGTTTATTTGAAAAGAAGGATATTTTGTGTACTATGGATTGATTTATGTAATGAATAATATAAAATCCTCCTTATTTATGTGTATGATGAAAAAGATTGAAAATTCACAAACTTTAAAAGTTATGAAAACTTTGAAGTTAGTGGAACGCGAAAATTATGAATATTGATAATAGGAGAAATTTTAGAATGCGCAGTAAAAACCTCCGCAGACTAAGGAGATCGTG